CTGGATGAATATGGGGTCGACTACCGCCCATGGGATGGGTACGGGGTCAACTACCGCCCACGGGATGGGTACGGGGTCCACTACCGCCCACAGGATGAATATGGGGTCGACTACCGCCCATGGGATGGGTACGGGGGTCCACTACCGCCCACGAGATGGGTACGGGGTCCACTATCGCCCACGGGATGAATATGGGGTCCATAGCCATCATCCAAGCAAAGAGCTGTGAGGTTCACAACATATAAATAAAACACGGACGACACAACCTCTACACAAGTCAGTATTTGGACTTACAGTCTACCTCGCCATGTTCGAGGCTATGACTCGAAATGTGGTTCGTCCACCTTCAGCCTGTAGTGTAAACAGTTCCGAAACGAACGTAACGAAAACTCCTTACATAATCTTACCTAGCCCTAACTATACGTAAACCCACAATACATAATAATATTAATTTACATTTCAGAAAACAATATTTATACTGTATAGAATACTAGTCCTGTTGGTTGTCTGATGAGTAAGTAAAAATTGCACTTTAGTAAAATCTGTCAGTATTTGACTTGCTACTTGGGCTAGAAGATGGATTGGGAGTCCTCTACCGCCCACGGGATGGATATGGGGGTACATAATAAATGAACACTATAAAAATAAGAAAAGTACAGTAAGCCCTCTGCTGAGTGTATATGAGAGTAAAGCCATCACTCAGGTAAGTCGCCACTCATTTACTTACCCCGTTAAACCCGTTAAATCTTTAATCATTAAGGACAAGTGGACGACTTGATATTTGTATTCAACACTTCACTCTAATATATTTCAGTCTGCCAAGTATCTGACTGGGCTTACTTCCACTAACTTGAAAACAGTTACAACCCCGCTCCTGTGCCAGGTAAGTCCACTATGGGTTCACCATAGCCCGTGCTACTTTTGTTCAGAGTAGTTGAATCTAAAACAACAACAACAACTCGAAAGCTAAACCTGTTCTCACACCAAGTCCAGAATCTGGCTTAACCTCACTAATGCGGCTGCAGAGCCTCACTGGTCACAGTATACTACTACCAACCTCTCTGGCTATATCCTAACTCACTACTCTTCGCTTACTCCAGCCTCCCTCACATAACTCACTGGTTATGTTACCAACCCGTCCTCCTAATAAAACGTCACATTTTGACGTATACTTTACCTACCGCCAAAAATTGTTGTACTAGGAATGATAGCGGCTCGCGAAATTGACATACTGTCCCGTTTTCACTTCGTGGGTCCTCTGGTTGGTGAGGATAAGGCACTTGATGTTGAGTTTCTTGATGTTGAGAAAGGTCGCGAGTACGGGCTGAGTGACTATAGCCTTGTGGAGAGTTGTGACCTTCACTCTCAGTCCCACACGCCTGTGACCATAGGCTAATGGGGGGCGTTATGACCTTCACTCTCACATGCCTGAGACCGTAGTAGAAGCGATGTGACCATTATTCTCACCCCTACATGTTGCGACTGTTATTGAGTAATGCAGTCACGGGAGAGGGGAAGAGAAGGGGTTCTTCGCATCATTCCCACGCCAGTTACGGCAGTGGAGATAGGGGCGACCTATAAATGCGGGAACTGGGCACCCTGGCGTAGGGCTGGAGCCCTGGGCACCCTAGCGTAGGGCTGGAACCCCGGGGCATCCTGGCGTACCCTGGCGTAGGGCTGGAGCAGCTCAGGGCTCACGCTTACTACCCATTCCAAGAGTGAAGTGAACGAATAGTTGCCCTGAAGACTGAATGAAAAAACAGCTTAACCAGGAACAATGTAGGAGTGACATGGCACAAGCGTAGATCACGAGAAAGGCAAGCTATTACGCGTTCCAAGTTGTTCCCCGTTTACTGAAGTTTGTGAAGACCGATGGCATGTGTCGTAGCAACAAGCTTGTCGAGCTGTTAGTGTCGGAATTTCCGACACTAACAGCTTTTGAGTCACTGAGTTTCCGACTCGGAAACTCAGTGACAGGGACCTAGGTTCATACCAGTGACATGCATAGTCTTGGATAAAATGTAGTTACAGCTGGCAACCAGTTTGACAGATCTGGACTGATGTTTAGCAGCAAGGGAATAAGAGCCGAGGAAAAGGAACAATAAACGGATGAGGGGCAAGGAGGAGGGCGGCACGAGAACCACTCTGGTATTTGGTCTTCCTGGTTGGATGGTGGCCAGGACCAGGGTAACATGTTGCCCAGTTTGGGGGAAGATAATTCTCATCGACATTGAAGTTTACAACTTTATTACTATGTGCTGCTTGCCAGTCTTGAACCATAATGTCACGGAGGATATATATGGTCTTGACTGGAGGTCGTGGACGGCAGCAGAGGGGTTTCTGCGTCTGACCTTGCTCGTCACTTGTCTCGCTTTAAGAGGGATGAATGGGATGATTCTCGCCGTTCTGCAAGAATGACTTGAGTGAAACTTGATCCACTTGAGAAATTATCCATGTTGTTTGTTTGGTTGGTTATTGAATGTGTTCGCTGCTCTGTGAACTGTATTCTGGCATATGTCAGTGATCAGACTGTCATAAAATTCTCGAGCTGATTAGTAATTTGTAATATATTTAAGAATTGTTATATTTCCAAATTAAATGCATTCTGTTAGCATGTTTAAGCCTGTATGGATGCGAACTATAGGACCTTCTAAATGCTGATCTTGGTAAGCTTAATTGTGAGTGAAGGAAATGTTGAAGACGAATCTTGGGAGACCATCCTCGCACTTATTGCAGTCTCATATCAGGCCTCTCATGTCCACACCCACACTTGAAGAAATAATTCACAAACGAGTGATATCCTTTTTGTCAGAAGGGAATCACTCATCCAGCAAACTCATTTTTTTTTCAGGCACTAACTTGTCACTGGCCACTCCAACTTTTCCAGAAATATAAACATAATTTTTAGGACATACAACTTAAAGAATGAGTGATGTACATCATGGTAGAACAGGTATACAGGGCAGCATAAAACAACTAGTCAGCAGAGGAAGCAGGGAAACCTCTAGCTGGATATTTGGACTTTTATAGGAACTACTGTCACAGAGATGGCTTACTGACAGGTATTTTGAGTCCTATTGAAGTCAGATCGATGGTGCTTGAACTGTGCGTTGTGAGTGCTTTTAGAAGTGGGATATAACCCTAGAATCTGGTGACTGCTGAGGGTGTGAAATTTTGTTGTATAAATTAATTGAATGATTAGTTTATGCCAGTCTTTCAAATTGTATTCTCATTGTCAGATATTTCATGTTATGTTATTATTACTTTTATTTATCCACTGCAAATTTGTTTAAACTAACCCAACAAAAATATACAAAACAGACATTTATGAATAAAGTTATTACACAAAGAAAATACCATTAATGTGATGTATCAATGAGAAAAACCGTAGGAGCCGTGATGAGGATTCGAACCAATGCTCTGGGTACTCCCAAGCACACACCTTAGACAACTTAGCCACGACATGGTCAAAAGGAAGTGCATAGGTAGAATTCCTGGATGCCAGATTTAGAGTGCATGGGGAGATTGAGTGAAACCCTGCCCCAGCTTCAGTGGAAGCCTCAGGAACCCTCTTGGATTCAGTAGAATCCCAGGTTGCACTCCTTTTGGCCATGTCATGGCCTAGTTGTCTAAGGCATATGCTTGGGGGTACCCAGAGCATAGGTTCAAATCCTCATCCCACTGCCAATAAATTTTCTCAATAAAGTTATTAATTGATTGGTTATTGATAAAGTTATTGGTATTGATAATCAATTCTTCATAATACTGCATTTGATGATTAACTTTGATAAATAATCATCACATATGATATGAGTTGTTTTCTTCATGTACCTTTGAGGAGCCACACTGACCAGAGGGTGGGGTCCAATTTAGCTGCTTTGGCCTAGGGTCCAAAAAACAGTTAGGTACAGCACTGACTAACACAATGGAGGTGAAACTTGTGTAGTGTAATAAAATATTCATAGGGATTGTATAGTATACTGTAATACAATGGAGATAGGGCTTGTGTAACATAATACGTATACTGTACAATGAAGATAGGCTTGTGTAGTGTAATACAATGAAGATAAGGCTTGTGTAGTGTAATACAATGAAGATAAGGCTTGTGTAGTGTAATACAATGAAGATAAGGCTTGTGTAGTGTAATATCGCTCTGATATTCCTAAAGTGCTACACACCCAAAGAAATGCTATGAAAATCAAGGGTCCTAAATTGTGGAATGACCTCACAAATGTAATTAAAAGCCGTACGCCTCCAAACCAGTTTAAAAGAGACCAAGACATATTTACCTAATATCATGTACTGTACCTAATTTCACTCACATTTTCCCTCATACAAGTTATTTTTGTGTTTTATATTATTTCAGGCAAAACATAAAATAAGTTTTGCCTGAAATGCTTTGTGTAATAGAGGCTTCATTAGTACTGTATGTGTAACTCCTGTCCCCACAATTGGACTTTACTCCCATGTTCTTTGTGCACACGTTCTTTTGAATACAGATTTGAATATGAATATAATTGAGATAGGGCCTGTATAGTGTAATACAATGGTGATATTGTTTCTGTAGTGTAATACAATCATGATAGGGCTTGTGTATTGTAATACAATAGGGATTGGGCTTGTGTAATGTAATACTATGAAGATAGAGCTTATGTAGTGCAATATATACAAATACAAAATAAATACAAATATTTATTCAGGTAAAGTACATACGTACAAGGTGAGATACAAAAAGTTGATGGATTTATAGATAGAGCTAGTACATACAATGCCTAAAGCCACTATTACTCAACTATTACTATTATTATTATAATGTAGATATGGTTTATGTAGGAATTATATAGCAAAGATTGGGGTTATATAATGTTGGTAAGATCTACTGTAGAAATAACACAGTACTGTATTGTACAGTACTTGAAAAAAAATAAGCAAACACGATCATAAGCTCAACAGAAACGAATAAGCAATGTCTTACTGTTTTGTTTTTCTCTCCTTTACAGCTTATTGGCATCCTGTGCATGGCCTGTGCTGCACCGGCATGGACCAAGGGCACACACTGGTTCCTGTTCGTGGTGGTCACAGCCTTTGTGTCCACCGCCATCTGGTGTTTCATATACCTGTTGAACCTCAAGAGTGCCATCACCCTTCCCATTGATTGGCTTCTCACTGTGAGTCTTTAGTTAAACATTGAGTATATGATTTTAAAACTCTTATGATAATACAGTAGTCTAATTTCCAGACCTTCTAGATATTTTTGTAAATTTAGCATAAAGTATTATGTATAGATATTTGTATAATAGTTTTTATTTACATAATTTTTGTTTAAGAAAGATATGTTCAACATTACTCAGTTCAAGAATTCACTTAGCTTTGATGAATAAATATGCCTAACTAGGTTATCATTAATTTATATATATATATATATATATATATATATATATATATATATATATATATATATATATATATATATATATATATATATATATATATATATATATATATATATATATATATATATATATATATATATATAATATTTTCATGTATATATATATATATATTAATGCCAAAATATACTAAATGCTTTTTTATATTACTGTACTTCACGGATAGATATCCCATTACTGTATTATAAAGTAAAATAATGATATCCTTGTGATAAAAAAATTACACAAAAAGGTATAGGCTTACAATTTTTAATTGATTCTTCTTGACTCCAGTTTATTAGAATGTTATCACTTTTTCAGCCTTCACCTTCTTCAGTATGAATCTTCCAAGTATTTTGCAAATAATTTAAAAGATTGGAGATAATTTTACGAATTTTATTCTGAACAATATGTATATTTATACATATACTGTACTATATATATATATATATATATATATATATATATATATATATATATATATATATATATATATATATATATATATATATATATATATATATAATATGTATACAGTATGTTTATAGTTTGTTTATACATATACAATATAGTTTATACATGTGTGTGTGTGTGTGTGTGTGTAAATAATGCCTTGCATGCTGTGGCCAGTGGGGAGTGACATTATAACTAGCATACTGTATCTTGTTCTTGATTAATGTATTGAGGTGGGCTGTCACAGTCACTGAGGTGGGTTGTCACAGTCACTGAGGTGGGCTGTCTCAGTCACTGAGGTGGGCTGTCACAGTCTGTCTCTGAGGTGGGCTGTCTCAGTCACTGAGGTGGGCTGTCACAGTCACTGAGGTGGGCTGTCACAGTCACTGAGGTGGGCTGTCACAGTCACTGAGGTGGGCTGTCACAGTCACTGAGGTGGGCTGTCACAGTCACTGAGGTGGGCTGTCACAGTCACTGAGGTGGGCTGTCACAGTCACTGAGGTGGGCTGTCACAGTCACTGAGGTGGGCTGTCTCAGTCACTGAGGTGGGCTGTCTCAGTCACTGAGGTGGGCTGTCTCAGTCACTGAGGTGGGCTGTCTCAGTCACTGAGTCACAGTCGTTCCATGTTGTCTTGGTCATTTATGCACTTTATAATATCTTCAATTATTGGATGCCAAATAAGTTTTAATTTTTTTTATTTAAGTTTTTTCACATTTTAATTATATCATACTGAAAGTAAGATTATTTGGATGTTCTGATATAGACAAAATAATCGAAGTTTCCTTTTGGCACCTTCTTTTGATAATTATTTATGTCAACAGTTACCAAATTGTATTCCGTCTTTATTATTTATATTCTAGCCGAATTATAAAATGGCTTCTGTTTTATCATTTTCAGCTGGTATTGTTCTTACAAATACGGCTCTTACCGAAAGGAAATAAATGTCAAATATGCTTTGTATTCCTGGTATGACATCATCCTGAGCCAAGCCCTGTATTCCTGCTTCTTAAACTCCTATCTTGCATGATGTTCCTCACACCCTTCACCATTGATCTATTTCAAGCATGGCATTTTGTTGAAATAGAATTTGCTGTGCTAGATTTCCCCCTTCCCCTTTTATCTTTGTGCTGCATAATCTCCCCAGCTTGGCGCTTCCTTTGATAATTACTTACTACCATCTTTGATCAATATTTTATAGCATTACATCATTATTATTAGGAAGGAGGAAATTATCAGGGGAAAGTGCCAAGTCATTATTACACACTGAAATCACAACAGCGTGATGCATCAAATGAACAATTCCACAAGGGCCGTGATGAGGGGTTCAAACCTACGTCCGAGAGGATCCCAAATGCACCTTAATCGACTGTGCCATGACATGATAAAAGAATTGCAACCGGGAGTTCCACTGACCTCACATGGATCCTGCAGTCTCTCCTAGACACAAACCAGGGTTTTACACAATTTTCCCATGCACCAGGGCTCTTGTCAGTAAGCTATTCTACCTCTTCGCCCTTATTTCATTGCACACAGAAATCACAATAGCGTGATGCATCAAATGAACAAATCCACATAGGCCATGATGAGGGTTCGAACCTACGTCCGAGGGAATCCCAGGCGCGCCTTAATCGATTCTCGGACGTAGGTTCGAACCCTCATCACAGCCTTTGTGGATTTGTTCATTTGATGCATCACACTATTGTGATTTCTGTGTGTAATGAAGTAAGGGTGAAAAGGTAGAATAGTTTATTGACAGCCCTGGTGCATGGGCGAATTGTGTAAAACCCTGGTTTGTGTCTCAGAGAGACTGCAGGATCCGTGTGAGGTCAGTGGAACTCCCAGTTGCAATTCTTTTACCATGTTGTGGCACAGTCGATTAAGGCACGTCTGGGATCCTCTTGGACATAGGTTCGAACCCTCATCATGGCCCTTGTGGATTTGCCTAGCCATTTTGACTATATTGCTCTTGGAAGGGGTCAGGATACAGATTTGGGATGGATTAGGGATTTGGGATGGATTAGGGATTTGGGATGGATTTGGGATTAGGAAGGTTTTATAGTATTACATTATTATTATAAATATTTAATAATAATAATAATAATAATAATAATAATAATAATTTTATTTACAAGAATGTGCAGTCAAAGAAACATAAAATAATTGTTTTGCATAGCATTTCTGCTTTTGTTGAGTTTCACCTAGTAATATTAAAAAAATTGTTTCTCATGTGTTGCCCATAAGTTCTATTACAGTACTTCCTTCTAGGATATGCTTAAGGTCAGGATTGGCACTGCAGTTCAGAGTTTTAAAAATGTAGAGTACAGTTGAGAGTATGCACAGTGACTTTATATTTACATGTTCAAAGTCGATTAAGAGGCGCAGTCAATTAAGGCGTGTCTGGGATCATCCTGGATGTAAGTTAGAACCTTCATCACGGCCCTTGTGGATTTTATTCATGTTCAAAGATTTCAGCAAGAGAGCAGAGTGGTGTCTGGGATTAGAATTTGCTATTATTCTATTTGCTGATTCATGTTGGGTAATTAGGGGTTGGAGGTAATTAAGGGTGGGTAGATACCCAGGCACATAGTAGGCGAGATATGGATAAATGAACAAATAATACAGAGTTACTAATGCAGGATGAGGTGCGTAATATCTGATTCTGAAGAGAATGCCTCTGTTTTATAAACTATTTTTTATGATTTGTATATGGCAGTGGAAACTCAGTTTTTGTCTATGTGAACACCAAGGAATTTCCCAGCTTCTGTGTTCATAAGTTGAGTATTGTTAATTCTTAGGTTAATTTGATTGTTGGACTTGTTACCAAGCAATGTGTAAAACATGTCATTGGTGTTAGGGTAAGTTTGTTAAAGTCAACCACAAATGGACTTCATTTAGTTCAATATTTACTGTGTCATGTAGAATAAGTGTGGTTAGCTTGGGAGAAAATGAAGGTTGTATCATCAGTAAATATACTGTATTGGCTTCAAGTATTGAGTGCCATTTGGAAGAATATTCATGTAAATAAGAAAAAGGAGTGAACCAAGTGTACAGTACTACCCTGTGGAATGCCAATGTTAATTGTCAAAGTGGGTGAAGTAGCAATGTTCACAGAAACATACTGGTGCCTGTCAATGAAGTAAGATTACATGTACTGTAGTGACCTATGACTCCATAGTGTTGGAATTTGAAAAGGTTATTGTGGTTAAGTGTCAAAAACATTAAGTAGATCAACAAATAACCTTTGGGGTATAGTACTCATTTTTGTCAAGAGCTGGATGTATCGGTCAAGAATATTAATTCAAGCAGTGTTGGTGCTTTTATGGGATCTGAAGCCATATTGGTAAGAACTAAGTATACTGTATTGTGTTTGTCTAGGAAGGAATAGTGTTTGTATAAGTTTTTCTCAAATATTTTGGAGGTGAGCAGAGTTGATATTGGCTTAAAATTATTGATTTTGGCGAGATCACTACTTTTATGGACTGGGATGATTTTAGCCATTTTAAGAATACTGTATCTTGGAAGGCTTAGAGCTCAAATGATTTGTTGTAGAGCAATGGTATGGCAGGAGCTAAAATTCTAGAAGCATTTTTGTAGATTAGGGTTGGTATTTTGGAAGGTTTACTCGATTTAGTTTTGAATGCGAGGATTATATCATTAACATCTGAGGCATTAGTGGGAGTTAGGTACAAAAAGTCAGGAGTACTGCCTGCAAGGTAGTCATTAATGTTGGTAAGGAATGCTGGGATTTCATTTGCAAGAGATCTGCCATTGGATAAGAAGAAGCTATTGAATTTAATGGCAGTGTCAGAGGCTGATAGAACTCCATCTGACACACCTTCTTCATTACTGCAGAAGGGACATTCGCTGGTGCTGTTGCCACCACCTCCTCCTCCACTGCAGAATCATTCGCTGCTGTGTTGGCTTCCTGTTCCTGTTGAAGGGCTAGGAGTTCTTCGGTGGTCAGTTCTTCGTTGTGTTCTTCCACCAACTCCTCCACATCATCACCATCCAATTCCAAGCCCATTTTCTGGCCTAGACTAACAATTTCCTCAACAATAGGCGCATCATTTATAGGCTCAAACCCCTCAAAGTCTAGTTCTCTCACACCTTCAGGCCACAATTTTCTCCAGCCAGAGATCAGGGTTCTTTGAGTCACTTCTTGCCAGGCTTTGTCAACGAGTTTTTAAAGCACTAAAAATGTTAAAATGCTCTCTCCAGAACTCTTTGAGGGTGAGGTTTGTGGCTTCAGTCACTTCAAAACATTTCCGGAAAAGTGCCCTTTCATACAGTTTCTCAAAATTCGCTATGATTTTCTGGTCCATAGGCTGAATTAGAGGAGTGGTGTTAGGAGGAAGGAATTTAACTGTGAGGAATTTATTGCATTGAGGCATCAAATCATCTTCCAAGCCTGGAGGATGAGCAGGAGCATTGTCAAGGAGAAGCACGGCTCTGAGTGGCAATTGTTTCTCCTGCAGATATTTTTCTATGGCAGGGCACAGCACTTCATTCACCCACTCCGAAAAAATAAGCCTAGTCACCCATGCTTTTTTATTAGACTTCCACATCACAGACAAACGGGTTTTCTGCACATTATACTGTTTGAAAACCCTTGGATTTTCAGAATGATACACTAGCAAGGGTTTAATTTTTAAATCGCCACTCGCATTTGAACACAGCACAAGCGTAAACCTATCTTTCATAGGCTTGTGTCCAGGCAAGGATTTTTCCTCCTTGGTAATGTATGTCCTCTTAGGCATTCTTTTCCAAAACAGTCCTGTTTCGTCACAATTAAACACTTGTTGCGGTAGGTATCCCTCAGCCTCTGCTGTCATTTGGTAGGAATAATGGTTTCTTATTTGAACCTAAGCACTCATAATCTTATCTTTCTTCTTAAGTATAGTGCATATTGTTGATGTCGCTTTGTTGTACTGCCTACAAAGATCAACAACACGTGTACCGTTCTCATGCTTTCGAATGATCTCTTGTTTCTGCTCTATTGTCATCCTCATATGTGGAAAATAGTGTTCCATGTTTTCTTCATGTCAGCCTTTATTTTATTAAATTTATTTTATTTATGAATTTATTTATTATTTATTTATTATTGTACTGTAGTTTGTTTTAGCTCTCCTAATTACAGTACAGTATATTAGAATTTAGAATCTCTTTTTAAATACTGTACATGGATAGCAAAATATTTCTGAAATTATTCATGACCTTTGTAAGACCAAAATTAAACTATGGAGTGGTTGTATTGTGCCCATATCTCAAGAAGTACACCATTAAACTAGAAAATGTGCAAAGACATGCAACTAAATTGCTGCCAGAGCTGGAAAACAAGAGCTACGAGGAGTTGTTAGTGGTGTTATACTGTACTGTATATACCAAAGCTAGAAGATAGAAGAAAAAGAGGTGATATGATCGCTATGTACAATTTTGTAACAGGAATCGACAAAATTGATAACAAAATTGTTCAACACTGCAACGTCAAGAACAAGAGGACATAGGTTCAAACTAAAGAAGCAAAGCTGCCAAAAAACATTGAAACTTACTTAGCAGAGTGGTAAACAGTTGGAAAGTGTTAAGTAATAAGGTGGTGGAGGCCAAAACTGTCAGTAGTTTCAAAGCGTTATACAACAAACAGTACTGTATTGAGAAGACAGGACACCACGAGCATAGCTCTCATCCTGTAACTACACTTAGGTATTTACACACACACAGGCATATGCACATACAGTAGAGTACATAAAGTAATTAAGTATAAAACATGTGGATATACAGTATCTAGTTGGCTATACAGTAGTGATGCAGTATCAAAGTAACCATAAACAGAAAATTGCCATCAATGAAGAAAAGACCACTTGACCCCTCCAATGCACAGTTGCTTTTTCAAATCTAGGAGCCTATAATTTTAAATCTTTTGATTTATATCTGGTTACCAAAATTATGTAGAAAACAAATGTGTATCCTCATTATATAAACTGTATTTAGTGATGTTACCTTGCTATGTAATTAGTACAGTAGTTATTAACCAAATTTTCTGTATGAAGGGAAAGACTAACCTTAAGGTGGAGGGGCCATAATCAATTTCTAGTTTTAGTATTGCTCCTCCTTAAACATGGTGCTCTAAACTCGCCTTAACACCAACTGATGCATTCAAAACTCATTGTGCTGATTTCTCAATGTTTGGATTTATATTTGACATATTTTATTCATGACAAAATAAGTCTTCCAATATAATCAATACTTGTCACTAGTAAATATTACATTTTGAAAAAAAAAAAAATTGGGGTTTACAAGTGAAAATACTTAGTTTTTATTAAATACTGTATTGTATCTAGTTTGTGGCAGTTAAGTTTTCTGCACAAGTATATGTAAAATATACTTGTATCTATAGATACAGCAGTACAGTATCTATATTTGATAAATAAAATTAGAAGTGCTGAAGTAGTTGGTTTAGGCAACTTTCCATTGAACTATCTGAAGACATATTGAATTAAATAAGCTAAAATAACAGGCAATTTAAAAATAATGTAGACTCATTACAAACTTTTTGATAAACTTTGTTTACCATTCAATATTTAGATTTTAAGAGTGCGTTAAGAGAATCCATGCAGATTCCATGGCGATGTCCATGAAGATGCTTGTATTAATATCCTCAAATGTTAACTTCTCCCAGAATTATTTTGATGATGACTCTCTCATCAGAAATCAGCAACATATATATTTTTGATAATTAATTCTGTTTTAGTGTTTGTTTTTTAAAACAGCATCAGTTGGTTATAAGTGTAAGGATGTTGATGTAATACATTACATGCATCTTCTGAGTAAGCAATTAGAGCCCTCCCTAATCTCTGATCATAGTGACATTTAAATCTTTATACAGCATATGAATTTAGTAAGAAACAGGAAATCAGATACGGGGTGAGGATTTTTTTACTGTTCATCTCTCTTAAATGAAAAATAATTATTATGCACAAAATAAGGTTAATGACAACTACCATGCTTTGGCTAGTAGCAAATGTTATGAGAAAAAATATGCTGTATTGTTGTTATGCAAGTTTATATTGCTGTTTGTAACTAATAAGTTATTAAGACACTCATAAATTGAGTGTATGACTTCTCCAACAATATTCCAATATTTAATTGCATGTGAATGGCATTTTTCAACTTTGTAATGCATCACTTTGTAATGCTGTATAAGGCTTAATTCTGAATGTTTACTGAAAATCCTCATCCCCCCCTCTTTTTGTGGCCTCGAGCTTGTATTTGATTCCCTGTTGCAGTATTGTGTGCTAATTGTTCCTTCCCTCTTGCTTGCAGGAACTCATTCTAACAGCTCTCTTTGCGGTGCTTTACATAATAGCTAGCATTGTCCAGATAATCAGCACTGTCACAAAACCACGGCCACCAAGACGGCTAAAACCCTTCTACCTGTTGTCAGGGGTGAGTATCGCCTGCCGGTTGTGCCTCTCTCTTCACCTGCTTCTTACCTACCGGCAGTTGTTGACAGTATAGGGCACCTAGCAACAGACTGACTGACCCGGCACCAATGACGTTCCTGGCTCTTCCTCTTTTGGAGACGTTTTCCTGCGATGTTTTTGTCTGCATCTGAATGCATAGTAGGCATGAAGATGCAGAATAATAAAAATTTAAAACCAGTTCCTCCAGCAGAAGAGTTTTCAGCTCTGCAGAACTTCATGGACGTACCCTTTGGACATGGTCCCTCTTTGCTGCCAATACGAAGGACACATTTCTCTTTCAGGAGCTGCTCAATACCGCCATTACCACTCTGCTCTATCTCATTGCCGTCATTGTGCAGTTCTGCAGTATCGGGGTGGAGCCACAGAGAAACATCGCTGCAGGGGTAAGCTGGCCACCTTCCCAACTCACTCAACCAGATCCTCCCTGCACCTTACTCATGACAAACCTACCCAAGATCCTTACCAGTACATTATCACAGTTCTGAACTGTTTTCTAATTCCATTTTTAAGCTCGGTTTAATTTGAATAAAGCTTCCTCTCCTGACATGGCAACCAGTTTTAGGCACACACATGTTATGTCTATCATGTAGAAGTTATGGATTAGCCCTTATCTTGTGACTTATGTCATATGAGAAGAATTAATGAAGTGAATTTAGTTTTTCTTATAAACCCCTGTAGTTACCAGTAATTGCCAGCTCTGGCTATTATTACAGAATAAGGGGATGCCTCATTATTATTCATAAAAAATCATTAATTAGAAGAATTTTGGAGTATGTGTTACATCATTGCACCTGAAAATATTTTTATAATTTATTAAAGTTTAAGGCCATTTTCTGAGGGAGCCCATATGGCTCTTTGGAGCTCTCTGGGCTGATATGAATGTACAGTATTAGATCCTGGCATCAGTCAAGCGAATGGAGTTCTGAGGCCTACCGGGGACTATGAGCCAGAACTTGGCCCCCCTTTGAGAGGCACAAGGAGCAATGGCCTATAGAAACCTCCGTGCACAAGTTACCGCAAAGCTTGTTTTCACCATAATACAGCGGCCGGCTCTGTTCCACCTGGGACGTACTCGTACAGGTTTTTTCTTTTCTTTTTGTTTTCTGCCTGGTTGAGGGTCTGCCCCTTGGTGTTGTTGACCCTTATTATTTTGTATTCTTGGTGATCCTCCACCTAGGTCCCTGTGTGTGTACACATCCTGAGGGTTCAGCTATTAGTTGTTTACTTGGTAGTTTAGGGCGCTGGTTAGCAGTATCTTGCCTGGGCTTCCCTTAGCAGAGCGTCTAAGGGCCCTGGGAACCTTCACTGGGGCTCAGTGATCTGATGGATGCATCCCCCTGGGTCCCATCTCACTTTGTGTGAGTTTGAGGGTTGCTTTGTCCCCTTGACTCAGGGTGACAATCACCTGTTCTGCCTCCATCATGCTGCATGTTGGGTCGGTGACACCTTCGACCTGGAGTCCTGCGATTGGTGTTGCTTGCATGTACTCCGCTTCACCCAATCCACTGATTATGATATTCGGGTGCAGGCAGCTTCAGCGTTGCATGGGCGTTATAGGTTGCTGCAGCGTGCTAGGTTGGTTACTCACCCAGAGTTCTCGGGGTTTGGGGCTCTCCTGGCCATTCAGGTTTTGAGAGGGGGGAGGTGCCCAGTGTCCTGGCGGATGGCCTGTCACAATTTATTCCCCCTGTCCACGAAATGGATGGTCGAAGCCGACTCGTTCAATTTGCTCTGCCAGATGTACGGGCTCTAGGAGGTGGAACTCTTCGCGTCGGCGTGGTTGAGGCGTCTCCCGGTATATGTGGCGCCCTTCTCCGACTGCGAGGCCTTTGGCGTCGATGCCTTCAGGCATGACTGGTCAAGGTGGGGTTACCTGTACCTCTTCCCCTTCGGTTCCGTTGTTGCTCCAAGTCCTAGCTCGCTTGGAGACTTTCCAAGAGAAGAGTAGTTCTGTTGGGCCTTTGGTGGCTGGCCCACCCTTAGTTTCAGGCGCTACTTGCTCAGTGTCCGAACCCAGGGGTCTTCCTGCGGCTCTGCCTCTTCCAGCTGTTTGGGGTCAGTTCGTTACATTGCTGGTTCGATCTTCTCCTTAAGTCTTTGCATCTGGTCTTTCTGACACTGGGTCTATCACCAATTGTATGCTGAGCAGGTGGCTTCGTTGATGGTGTCCCACCTGCGTGCTTTGTCTCGGCAGTATTAAGTTAACTGGTGGTCCTTTCCTTATTTCTTGTCCCTCCTTATGTTCTCTTCTGTTTCGGATCGGGTTGTCTTCTCCTTCCTTTCTTGGTTGTTTCAGGACCGTCATCTTATGCTGAATACTGTCGCCTCCTATCGTGTGGCACTGGCGGAGCCGCTTCAGCTCAAGTACGGGGTGAATGTTACTTCTGCTCCATTCCACAAGCTTTCTTGTGCGCTGTTTCACCTCCAGTCTGCTCATGCGCCACCTGGTCGTTGGACCGGGTGCTGTCTTTTCTATCTTCCCTCGATTTGTGGCCCCCCTTCGGTTCAAGATTGTTTTGTGAAGGCTCTCTTCCTGTTGGCATTGGCCTTTGGAGGTCAGATTGGGGAGATTAATGCTCTTCTCCAGCGCAGAGGTTTCTGCTCTTTTGGTCCTGGTGGTAGGTTTGTTAGTTTGCAGCCGTCTCTCTTTTTTTTCTGGCGAAGAATGATGCTCGGTTGGTTCGGCTGGGGGTGCATCATGTGTTGTGACCGGTTGCGGCTCATCGCTGTTACCTGTGCGCCATGGCCTCTGTGGCCAGGGAAGTGCTTTGAGTTGACCCGGTTTCCCTTCTTCCCTGTTCCAGGGTTCGGATCACCCAGGTAGTCCAAAAGGTTATTTGGTCCAGTCAGCCTGCGGTCTATCCTCATGCCCATGACGTTAATAATTTTGCTGCTTTGGCTGCCGTCTTTGGTAACATGTCTTGGGCTGACATTCAGGCACAGGGTTATTGGAAGTCAAACAGGGTCCTTGTCGCTCGCTACCTAGTCAGTATTCCTGGCCCTAGTCAGGCATGTGTTGCATTGGGTCAGCGGTTGTAGCCAGCTGTCTCGACTTCGAGTTGAGGAGCAAGTGGCGACCACCTCCCGGTTAAGTTCCTCTTGTTTTATCTTTGGTTCAATAGCTCCAGGGAGCCAAAGGGGCTCCCCCCAGAAAACCAGCATTGAATGTAATGAAACGCCATTTTCTGGGTGAGACCCAAGGCTCCCCGGCAACCCTCCATCCCTTCCTCCGGTCGGCGGTTTTCGCTGGTTTTTGACATCCAGCCTCAGAACTGTAGGTGTGGATAGCCAGTGCAGTGGTCTAGGGCTTCCCCTTTCCCCTCCCATGAAGGGGGAAGTTGCACAGACAGCGGCGTGGTGACAGTTGTGATGTCATGCTCGTTTGCTCGTTTTTTGTTTGGGGTAGTTCTGTCCAACAGTTCGACTTTCAGTAACAATATTTTAACTGATAGGGTTTCACCCTGATAGGGTTTGTTTTGGGGTGCCTACCTTTCTGGGTGCCTGACCCAGTGGATGGCAGACATAGAATGCTTCCAACCATGCAGGGGTTTCTATAGGCCATTGCTCCTCGTGCCTCTCTGAGGGGGGGCCAGACTCTGGCTCGTGGTCCCCGGAAGGCCTAAGAACTCCATTTGCTTTGACTGATGCCAGGGTCTAATGTATTCATATCAGCCTGGAGAGCTCCGCGGAGCTTCTTAACCCCTTAACTGCACGGCCTCCAAATATGACACCCTCCCAGTGCGCAGGAAATAAAATCCCTGAAATTTTTTTTCTGTTTTTAAAGTGTCAAAAACCCTTCCCTGAGTAAGGGTATAGTAACAGAAGGTCGAAATTGTAAGTACTTTAGCTGCTGTGGGGTCCGTAAGTTCGTGCGTGACGTCATCATTCCCTGGTCGCCCGTGGCATATGCCCCCAGGGCCGGTAGGGCGCTCGGGGCAGGATGCGCGAGGTGCCGCAAATATATTTTTGTTCATTCATTTTCTGTGCACAGTTCCAAATACATTTTATATGCTTTTACATGCCAATCCTATGTATAATGAACACGTACACTATATTATGGCAGTAGAACATCCGTACTGTCCGAAGACACTGTGTTACGTGCATGACACATGTGTGCACATATCCGGCACATATTTCCATTGTATTATGCTAATTTATGTATATATACAGTCTATTTACACACTATACATTATCACACACTATATACATTCACCATGAACACACTCAAAACTCCGCGAGTGTCAGCTGCCACACTCTCACTCCTCCAACATCCAGTCTCTCCCTCACTCCTCCAACATCTTATTCGCCAACATGCTCCTCCCACCATACTGTTATTGTTTGTATTACACTATTTACACATGTTATGTATACCTATCTACATGTTTCATTTACCAGAACTATGCAAGTAAGCCAGTATTGTGTCCAAACTTTACAGTGGCATGAGAAATCACACAGCAGCCAGCAGACGACGCTACGATTACGTCGCCTCCCTCACCAAAATAACTCCTCCCAACATACTCCTGTTGCTGTTACTACACTATATACACACATTGTATATACCCATGTACAAATGTGTTCACCATAGTGAACCACTAAGCTAGTATGATGAGCAAAACAAGAGTGTCTGCCACACAGTGAGGCTACCTCGATTCTCTTCCTCGCTCCCTCATCACAATTACTCCTCCCACAATACTACGCACAGTGCTTATTATCACCACAATCCTGCTGTAATCACAATACTGGTCACTAAATCCTGTAAATACATAATTGACCACAAGTTTATTTTGTAAAGGAACCTAAGAAGTCGTTTAAAGATTCCTAGATGAACGAAATAATGCTGTGGTGCTGTGGCTAGCACTGTGAACATTGTGAACAGCACTGAATCACTAATATTTGAACATTGTGCACAGTCATTATCACACTCAGGCTCTTCTGTAATACTATCATGGCTAAATAAAACAA